AATTTGAACAACTAATGATTCATTTTCAAACCCTTGGATGTAACATGAGCATTAAGTTGCACTTTTATTGTCCCGTTAGTCTTGGAGATCTAAGTGAAGAACAGGGCGAGCGATTCCACCAGGACCTTCGTGCGATGGAGCAACGGTATCAAGGCTACTGGAACGCACACATGATGGCTGACTATTGTTGGAGCATTCAGAACATTTCTATAGGTTCAACCTCTGCAAAGAAGTCTTATAAAAGAAAGTTTTTATCACCTTAAGAACTAAATAAAATATGATTAACTTTAAACAAATTGTGTTTTACTATGAAACGGCCATGTGTCATATTTTCTAAACTAGAGCTAATACAGAAATTTTGATTACAGATTTGAAGTCTTCATTAAAAATTAAACTAGTGTCGTGTAATATAACTCGATCATCAGAAATGCTGTTGTGCAGTGTAATTTACTAATAACTGATCTATCGTGTTTTAAAACAAAACTTTGAGGAATATAAATGCGAACGGAAAGTTTAGCTGTTAAAACAAGGAATAAAAATTAATTTTAGGTCTATTTAGCTCACAAACAACAATTTTTATTAAAGTAATTTAGAACTTAACGACCTTAAAGTGCGATATAAAATGTTGTCCCGACTCGCCTCTACTTCCACATGCAAACCTCCCGACTCCCGACAAACGTCATCACTGATTAACATACACAGATTGCTCGGCGGTCTGCACACAATCCGTAATAATGGAGAGTATGGAGAACGAAACGTCCGAGGATAATATAAAGCGACGGGAGAATGTCAAAAGTCCCTGGACATAAAACCGGATGGCGATGATATCACGGGACAAGCACGTCGGACCATGCATGGAAATTGCATTTCTGCGAACGAGACACTTGTCATGTTAGCGGCCATTTTGATTATTTAACCGAATTATTATTATTATGGAAAGTGTCGGTGGATTTCTGATTTATTGACTAATGATCAAAATTACCCAAAATAAAAGATAAAGGGTAGGGGTACCGTCGATAATCGCTTGTCTTTAATCGGGCGTCCTTGAGTGTCGAACTGAAATGTTTACGCATCGGAGGGTTTGGATTTTAAGATAGTAAATGATAAAAAATTGTATTATTTCATTCTTTATTTTTTCCTAGATGATTGTTGGTTGTCATTTTGCGTTTACGGGTACCTAATAGATGATTTCAACGGAAGACATCTTGAAGTTGCAAGGTCATTGGAAGATCTTTGTGCCATCTATAAGCTTACATAACAACTAATAAAATAAAAAAGAAAACTGTAAATTATTATTTTGGCAATGTGTCTAAAGTTACAGCGGCGTTAAGTATAATTTTTTTTTCTTGTTTTTTTCTTTAGTTGTATGGCCTCAGTTTTCACTCTCACTATCGCCAAGATGTGGAATCTAGATCTACATGGCTTGCTAAGCGCGCGTTAGGTCGTTTTATGTTTTTACAAATTTTGACATGATACATGACTAAGAAAAATAAAACTCTGGGACCTGGCACTAAGTAGAAAGAGATAGTGAAAAACTGAGCACATACAACTAATGAAGAAGACAAAGAAAAAAGAAAAAAATGAATACCGATGCCGTAACCTTAAACAATTTGCCAAAATAATAATTTACAGTTTTCTTTTTTATTTTATTAGTTGTTATGTAAACTTGTAGATGGCGAAAAGATCTTCCAATGACCTTGCAACTTCAAGATGTCTTCCGTTGAAATCATCTATTGTGTTTATTTTTTGTTATCATTTGATTATTTTACTGTAAATAAACGGCATTATACAGTGCGAAGAAATCTGTATTATTTGAAAATGAACGTGCATGAAATTAAATTTATGCAACAAGGACGTGCTCTAGGCTGAATTTTCGCATAGGGCCATTGCCATTAGCCATGCCCCTCTGGGAGAATATAACCAGAAAAGATTGGAAGCCTGCATCTGTCTGAGCAAGAACAGGCTACGTATTGTAACAGGGATCCTTACCGGGCATTGCCGACTAAAAGGACACCTAAGTAAACTGAGAGTAGTATAGGATAGTGAGTGCAGATTCTGTGAGGAGGAGGACAAAACCTTCATTTACATCCTAAATGAATGTGTAGCACTCCAGAATCCAAGGGCACTATATCTAGGAGGATATCAAATAGAAGAACTTGAAGCCACTTCAAATCCTACACTTCCTTGAGAAAATAGGATTGGAAGGGTCGTTATAGGCATTGATACATTTCCTTAGTGCATTGGCGACAGAAGGGGGCACAATAGATCTTTTAGGTCGCAGTGTATTATCACCCCATTCTCAACATAACATAACATAGAGGCCTGAAGATATATTTATTATTAACTGAAATTTTAGGAAATAATTTAATACAAATTAAGGCAACTTTCAGTTTTTTGTTTCTTTAAAATTGTTGATGGGAGGTAGAGCCCTGAAGACATTGTTTTTAAATTGAAATTTCATAAATTCATAGCTTAATATATGCAGAGGCAACTATTAGGTATTATATAGTAAAAAATAATATTATTTTTTTCGCTCCACCCTAATGTACGCCACTGTTTGAATTTATGGCTTGCCATCGTCGATATTCCGCGAATAAGACGTTTCACGTCTCGCATATAGCAGCGTTGTAAATTATGTCTTTTGGCCCATATTACCGATACATTCTCGCATTGCTATGCCCGTTTTGCATACATAGAACCGTGTAGTTTTATTTTATGATGATTTAAGAAGACAGATGTCGCTGCTTGATCGCGATCGGAATGTTTTACGTTGATATCGCCGTACGGTAGATACTTATAATACCTACATACAAGAAAACGAAGTAGGAGGCTATATGAAGAAGGAGCGTATTTCGTGTCAAATAACTGACAGGGTTGGATTCTGTTCCTAGTAGTTTTTATCTAAAAATTACTAGTTTTAAACATACAAAAATACTTTCCAGTTGTTAAATTAGTATAAGCTTTGTAACTGGCTTTTTTAAAATAAGTTAATGTCAAAAATGTTTCAGTTACAGTCCTTGGTAAAAAAATACCCTCTAGGGACTGTTATATAGTACCAAATTCATGTAAAAATAATAAATCTCTTGGTACTGATGGTACCATCTAATAAAGCAGTTTTCAATATACCTGTATGTAGAAAAATAACCATCCAACAAAGTCTCAACATCTTTATTTTACATATTTTTTTCCTTTGTATCAATTGTTTGAATGCAGTTCCTGAACATTCACAGTATACAGTTTTGAAGCCTTTTTTCGTTTTTCTGATATATGTGGTTTTTATTTCACCTGTTATGTCATTCTGTTTCACAATGGACTTGTCAATTTCTTCCTTGGTAATATTCTCCGTAAAATTGCATATTTTTAATCTGGATCTTCTCATTTTTGTCAGATCTACATCATATGAATCTTTTAATTTATCTTGAACAGCTTTTCCCAGAATTTCAGCTTCTTTTTTTGTTTGACAAGAAAGTATAACGGAACCATTCTATCCCATCTTTTAAGTCAGTTAGGTTAATATTTATTCCTAAATCTGCTTTTGTTTTGTTTCCACTCTGTGGTATTTTCGGTTTATTAATAATTTTTGGAGGGTTAGGTTTTCGTTCATTGTCTTCTTTTTATAACTTCACCATATCAGCATAAGAAATGGTAGGTACAATATTTATCTCTTTTTCTTCAAATTCTTTAATTTTCTATTGAAGCATTTTTATTATTTCATTTTTACTATTTATTATTTCATCTTTACTTCTTATTATTTCATCCTTATCTTCATTAGTCTTCTTTAGAAAATCAGTCAGTTCTTAATTCCTACATTTTGCACAATGAAATTTCAGAATTCTAGTGCGTAGTGGTATAATCTTCTGCATCCATCACATGTAGAGCATGGATATTTTTGTTCTTTTGTAGGCTGATGAATAATCTCACACTGTGAGCATTTCATTCCCATTTTTCCTATTAAATCATTTTCTTATTCTATAAACTAAATGTGGGTACGCCACTGGATATTCTATTTGTGTAGAAACATAATTTTGTAAATTTGCAAAATTTAACAATTTTACAAATTTTAACAGTTGATGAAATTAGAGGGTACCAAATTTTAATTCTTATCAGGGCCGACGAGAGGGGGGGTAGCCGGGACAAATTCCCGGGGCCCGCGCTCAAGTGGGGGTCCAGCAGCGGCATTAAAGGGGCCCGGCAGCACGACATCTTTTATTTTTTTAGAAATTTACTAAAGAGGAGGAAAAGTTTTTGCTTGAAGATCTTGTTTTTTTTTAGGAAATAATATTGAAAGTTAATTTTTTTTATAAAATTGTCATGGGGCTTGACCTGAAAAATTTTCCCGGGGCCCGATCTGGCTCTCGGTGGCCCTGATTCTTATTTTCTATAAATGTGACATTGGAATATTTATTTCGTCACTATTTCCAAACTAATATATTTATAGACTTCAAAATTTTAAAAAATATTAACAAAAAGTGTACAAGCATAATTTTGTAAACCACATTTTCAAATTTTAACAGGTGTTGAAGTTACAGGGTACCAAAATTAAATTCGGATTTTTTATAAATTTGACATTGTCGTCTTTATTTCGTCACTACTTCAAAAGTAATAGTATAAACTTTAGGAATTAAAAAAATACAAAAAGTGTAGAAACATAATTTTGTTTACCACATTTTCGAATTTTAACAGATTTTGAAGTTTAATTTTTATTTTCTATAAATTTATTGGAACCTTTATTTCATCACTATTTCTAAACTAATAGATTTATAGTCTTCAAAACTTTTAAAAATATTTATAAGAAGTGTAGAAACATATTTTTGAAGACCACATTTTTAAATTTTAATTACCATTTGCAAATAGTTTTATTTAGCAAAAAAAATGTTACAATATTACCAAATTGAGCTCATAAAAATGGATTTTAAAATTAAAAATTAGAGTAAAATATCTTGTGTTGCTGAATTTTCATGTAAACGAACATTTATTTATCGTTGTTTCTTTGTTTTCAGAGAAATTCAATATCACCTGCAGAAAAGTACAGGCCAAGGACTCCCCAAGAACCAGAAATGAAAAAACCTAAAAAAGAAGAAAAAGATGTCGGACACGTAAGTACCAAAGTACGTAGCTTTTAACACTACTAAAACTTTGATGTCGTTAGTGAATTTAATTATTAACATTATACATACTAACATTCTTACATTTTTAAAAACATTATATTTGTATGAAGCTACCTACATTTAAATCCTTGAATAGAGAAATGTCAATATTAAGAATACAAGAACAAAACAGATGCCTGATTTCTACAGGTTTCTAAGAGACAAAATCAAATTGCTGTAGAATATTTTGGTAGTTAAAACTTGGGTATTTTAAGAATTTCTTTTGAATTAAAGTTAGTGCTGAAAGATACTCGTAATTGAAATTTTTATTTCTCATTATAAGTAATCAAAATGTCTTTGATAGTGTCACTTTTTTCCAAATCAATATCAATGACACAAAAAAATGCCGAGAATTATGTTTACCACTATAAGTCGCAATTTTACATTATAAATATTAGAAAGAGGTGAGAGACACCATTTCTGTAATATTATTAGATTAAATGGATAGATTATTTTTATTATTCATTGTTTAATTATCAAATAACTGATCAATTTGGCACCCAGAGCAGGGCTAGCCTGATGTATTAGTATAATATGTTGGATGTATTTCCAACAAAAGCTTTTGCAGAATTATTTAGTGACTAATTTTATCAATATGTCCTTAACTATCTAAGATTATCAGAGATGTAGATTAAACACTTTCATGAATCTATGTTGGTATATAGATATCACATTTGTGCCAGATAGATACGGTTACGCTTTGCAGTGTTATTAAGATTAGATATTGGCCTATATTGTTTATAGCAGAGCAATCATGAGATTTATTAATGAGGCAGATTTTACCTATTTTCCAAATAAAGACTTATGTTTTTATTACTAGATTAAAAAGTGCTTGTAGGGGATAAACTAAAGCTTTTAAACAATATTTTGTGTGAACCTGAGGTGAATATATTTTTTTAATTTTTTATTAGCATCTAGAATTTATTTTCAGCTACTGGGATCATAGTTAAAATGTAAATTTGTCATCATTATCTGGCAAATAATAGACAGTTCCAAAGAACGTAAATAATGTAAAGGATGTAAAGGATGTAAAGGATGTAAAGGATGTAAAGGATGTAAAGGATGTAAAGGATGTAAAGGATGTAAAGGATGTAAAGGATGTAAAGGATGTAAAGGATGTAAAGGATGTAAAGGATGTAAAGGATGTAAAGGATGTAAAGGATGTAAAGGATGTAAAGGATGTAAAGGATGTAAAGGATGTAAAGGATGTAAAGGATGTAAAGGATGTAAAGGATGTAAAGGATGTAAAGGATGTAAAGGATGTAAAGGATGTAAAGGATGTAAAGGATGTAAAGGATGTAAAGGATGTAAAGGATGTAGAGGATGTAAAGGATGTAAAGAATGTAAAGGATGTAAAGGATGTAAAGGATGTAAAGGATGTAAAGGATGTAAAGGATGTAAAGGATGTAAAGGATGTAAAGGATGTAAAGGATGTAAAGGATGTAAAGGATGTAAAGGATGTAAAGGATGTAAAGGATGTAAAGGATGTAAAGGATGTAAAGGATGTAAAGGATGTAAAGGATGTAAAAGATGTAAAGGACGTAAAGGACGTAAAGGACGTAAAGGACGTAAAGGACGTAAAGGACGTAAAGGACGTAAAGGACGTAAAGGACGTAAAGGACGTAAAGGACATAAAGGACGTAAAGGACGTAAAGGACGTAAAGGACGTAAAGGACGTAAAGGATGTAAAGGATGTAGAGGATGTAGAGGATGTAAAGAATGTAAAGACTGTAAAGGATGTAAAGGATGTAAAGGATGTAAAGGATGTAAAGGATGTAAGGGATGTAAAGAATGTAAAGGATGTAAAGGACGTAAATGACGTAAAGGACGTAAAAGACGTAAAGGACGTAATGGACGTAATGGACGTAAAGGACGTAAAAGACGTAAAGGACGTAAAGGACGTAAAGGACGTGAAGGATTTAAAGGATGCAAAGGATTTAAAGGATGCAAAGGATGCAAAGAATGCAAAGGATGCAAAGGATGCAGAGGATGCAAAGGAATGTAAGGAATGTAAGGAATGTAAGGAATGTAAGGAATGTAAGGAATGTAAGGAATGTAAGGAATGTAAGGAATGTAAGGAATGTAAGGAATGTAAGGAATGTAAGGAATGTAAGGAATGTAAGGAATGTAAGGAATGTAAGGAATGTAAGGAATGTAAGGAATGTAAGGAATGTAAGGAATGTAAGGAATGTAAAGAATGTAATATTGTATCAGGTTTTACCTACCATTCGTCATTATAGAACATTTTACCTGTAATTCTAAAAGTGTTTTTTTTTATTATTACCAAATAACAACATTAACTTTGGTTCAAGGGTTATAGTTTGATCTAAATATTTTGCTTCTTTGATTTTAAGTTTGATATTTACTCTGAGTTTATTAAATTCTTAGCAATAATAGTATATTACACACCAATGTGGGAAGAGTTTCATTCCTGTCGTGAGATTAGTTAGATCACCGAGACGCGAAGCGTCAAAGTTAGCTATGATCTCGAAACAGGAATGAAACTTCCTACCGAGGTTTGTATACTATTTTATTTACAACCATCATATTTCGATCAAAGTTAATAAATCTCTGTTTCGTTCTGAACATACCTAAAATATTACATTTAACGACAAATTACCAAGCGCGCGGTTTTCTCAGAATAATCAAGTAAATGTATTGTTACTGAGATTACGGGGTAAACAACTGTCACCAATATAAATAAATGTCAGATAAAGCCGGATATTAAATTCGCGAATAATAAATATCAATAAGTAGTTTGTTGTATTTTAATTCATTGTTGTTTTTTATTGTTTGCCATTAAATAGGTATTATAAAATTTGTCAAAAAAATATGTTATTTTTTTTAAATATAAAAAATATTCATCTTGAATAGATGAAATGAGGGCGGGAGGTAGAGGTGTGTAATGTGACACTTCCCAACCTTCAATGACGTTAGTAATGACAATATTACATATAGGGTTGTAAATAAACAATATTCCACTTGCTTTAAATTTTTTATCGAATTTAAGTATTCATGAATTTTTTAAATATTACCAATATACCATACATAGTAATTTATGTTTGAAATTTAAAAAAAAAATGGAAAATTTGATCAATGATTTTCTAAAATTTATTTTATAAGGTTTCTACGTCAAGACAGAAAGTTTGCTTTTTTCAAATTGTAAGATTTTTTTGATAGTTACACATAATTCAAATAAAAGACATGTTAGAATTAAATTGTTGCGTATTTAAAAAGCTATTTATACTAGAAAACTTTGTTTCAACTTCTTCCATCTCCAGTATCTTATCCCACACGATAAAAATAGAAGAAATAATAAAAAAGAAAATATGTATATATAAATCGGTTGTAGACATCCGTGTCGGCGATACTGGTATAATACAACGTTACAAGAAGACAAGCCTGAAACATGCAACTGATTTGCGATGGCCAGATAAAGCCTCTCTGTCTCTCGAGAAGTCCGTGGGGGCCTCTCCTCTTTTCTTTTTTCCGGTTGCGAGCTACGATACTTTGATACTAAGAGAGACGGGCGATCTCCCGGGGCCTTAGCGTAGGCTACTTTTGCGACAACTACGGACTATTTACCATATAATGGGCCCGTTTACGGTGTCGCCTTGATATCTTGATATCACGCCACGATCGTAAATCGCGTTAGCCGCGGTTGAGGATCGAGAATTCGAGAGAGAAAGAGAAGGATTTCCTTTTTTATGTTTTTTTTTTCAGTGAACACGTTGAATTTTTCTTAGTTGTCAAAGGATTCGATTGTGATTAATCAGAAGGGCAATATGAATAACTAGTTGAATAAAAAATTAACAAAACATGACACTAGTGTAACTGACATAAACAAAGATCTAGTGATTATTAAGTCATGGTTTGATTCGAATGAGATTTGTTTCAACACCAGTAAAACTGTAGCATTGTCTTAAAACTGTAGCATTATCTTACAGAGGTACTTCACAAATACAAAAGTCAAGATCATAATTATAACTTTAAAAAATTACAATGTTTATACTTATCCGACCATCCTAAAGAGCTTACACATATATTATAGTGAAATTTTATTGTGGACACCTAGATGACTAAGAGAATGTATTTAAAATGGAAATATATGAAGACGTTTACCAGAAAAACGATTAAATTTTTAGTACTTTTACAATAATGTGGACCCTTAAATCACATGAATAATGTTATGAAATACCTAGACCACCTGGGGAAGGTTCTTAAGATGGTTACCTATGAAGACGATGTCCATAAAAACTCAAAAATAAGTAATATTTTAAATATTAAAACGTTTTTAAGACCTAGACTGCACGAGGGATGTATTTAAAGTGGTAAACTATGAAGATGATGTCAACAAAAATCGTGGAATAACTAATATTTTATTGTTCTATAACGTTATGAATGTCTAGGTAACCTTGATAAAGTATGAAAACGGCGTTCAGAATAATTATCGAATACATCTTTAATAATTTTACAATAATGTGGACCCTTAAATCACATGGAGAATGCGCTTAATATAAAAAATTATGAAGATGGTGTGTAGAAAAAATACTAAATATAGTTGAAAAGTACCTAGACCACCTGAGAAAGGTTCTTAAGATGAATACCTATGAAGACGATGTCCATAAAAATTAACTAAAATTTTAAATAAGATTTTGAGACCTAGATCGCCTGGATGATGTATTAAAAATGGTAAAGCATGAAAATGGTGTCAAGATGCAAAACTATGAATATTGTGTGTAGAAAAAAATCTAAATTACGTTGTAAAATACCTAGACCACCTGAAGAAAGTTCTTAACATGGTAACCTATGAAGACGTCAATAAAAATAAAAAATATTAAACAAGAAAACACTTTTAAGACCTAGACTGCCTGGATGATGTATTTAAAATGGTAAACTATGAAGTTGGTGTCAATAAAAATCGTGAAATAACTATTTAATGGTTTTAA